CAGGCAACTAAGAAGCTGGGGGCAAAGCTGTCTCAGACATAATTGTACCTTGTTTTACCATCTCTTTCTCAATTCCTTCTTAATATCTCTTTAATAAATCCTTTCAATTATCAGACCTGAAAGAATAGCCACCGCCCTGACCTGCCTGATGACAGACAGCACAGGTTGAGCAGGGCAGGTGGCAGATGCAACTCCTCCTTCCTTTGGCCGTCAAAACATTTGGTTCCTCCTTTGTTTACACTGGCTCAGCCCTTCTGCTCAGAATTTTTGCCCTAAACTCTTTACTCCAAAAGCGGCCAATTAAAAGTTTTTAAAAAACAAACTCTGTAGAGAGAAACTGTTTTCCAGCTTGCGTGACTCAGGCCATGGCCTCAGGGTCATTATCACAGCCGCGATAATCACACTCCTAAAAGCTGCTCCTGTTGTCTACCTGCCCCAGAGCCACCTGGGAAATGGGCACCTACCAGGACTGAATAGCGACATTTTCAAAGGTTCAGACAGAAGACTGAAATGGATATGATTTCAACGCTATAACATAAACTCTCTTGAACATAAGACATTTTTCTTTCAGGGAGCATTTGCTGGTAACCATGAAAAATCATAGACTCCCAGCTAATTAAAACTTAGAATGTTAGAACCGGAAGGTATTCAAAGCATCTAAAGGATAATGCTATCAGCTTCATGGACTATTACATCTCTGCCTATGTACATTTCACTTTCTGTGTTCATGTGTGATGCATCTACACTCCTGTATCTGATTACTATGATTCTGTAAAAATCACAAAAACAGGTGAAAAATATTGCCTTAAAAGTTCTAACCACTTAAGAATATTCTCTTACCAGTTCTGGGTTTTGCAACTTTGAAACATGAGATAAACATTAATAACACGTGGATCATAGAAATCTTCATTAAAAAAAGCAGGATTAGTACTATATCCCAATTACATATCTTAATGGTCACCGTGAAGGTAGACTGTCTTTTATTCTGCCAGATTCCATGATACTACTAAGGGTTTACTTATTCTCTAAGGAGAAAAATACTCATTAAAATGACTTTTCAAGTAAAATGCATATAACAACTTTATATCAGTAACCCTATCATCTAGCTAGCTAGCTAGCTAAATATGTATAGTATAAATAACCCTATATAGCACTCGAAGCACCTTAAAATGATGTAACTTAAAAAAAGAAACTCTTAAACATGTGACCCTAGAAGATAACAAGTTAACATATTACTCCTGTGCTTAAAGTGCTTTTAGCATTAAGGCTAAAATTGTTTATGTGCTCTCCAAATTCCTCTCTTCTACAATCTCATCTTGTGCCACCCTCTCCCTACCTCTTCTTGCTCAGCCCCACTGGCCTCCCCTCAAGTCTTTGAACTTGCCACAGGGCCTTTGCACATGTTTTCATTCTGTCCAGACCCCCTCCAACTGTCTTCTCTGCCACTTTGAGTCCTTATCACTTTAAGGAGACCATCCCAGCCTCTTCATCTCAGAGTTTCTTTCTCATGTGCATTCATAAACTATTTTCCTTTTCTGTTTGGCACTCCCCTCATTTATTTGGTGCACTTGTTATCTATGCTGCATAATAAATCACCCCAGAATTTAATGGCTTAAAACCACACTTATTACCTCAATGCTCCTGAGAATCAGAAATGAGTTGGTGCTTGGGTGGGTGGTTCTGGCTCAGAGTGTCTCGTGAGGTTGCACTCAAGACATCAGCCAGGCTGTGGGCATTTGGAATGTCACCTGGGGTGGAGGACCTGCTTCCAAGTTTACTCGTGCAGCCTCAGTTCCTTACCAAGTGGGCCTCTCCATAAGACAGCTTGAGTTTTTTCAGAACATCGAAGCTGGCTCACCCCAGGGCCCATGACCCAGGAGAAACCAAATGAAGAGGAAGCTACTGTCCTTTTTGACCTAGATGTCACATATGGCCACTTCTGCTTTATTCTGGTTTGTAGAAACAAGCCTTTAAGACCAAGCAACAATAAAGGGGAATGGAATCAGCCTTTAGCCTTTGAGGAGATTTTTGGATTTATTTTAAGTCCACCCGCAGGTGGGTAGTTAGGTAAATAACGACCTCCTTTACTAGACAAAGAGTTCCTGGAGAACAGGACCCATGCTTCTGTCGTTCACTGTGGTGTCCCTGGCCCCTCCCCAAATGCCTGGCAATGTACAAGCATTTAACAAAGAGTTATTGAAAGAAAAGATAGTAGGGAAGAAAGGAGGGAGGGAGGGAGGGAAGGAAGGAAGGAAGGGAGGAAGGAAGGAGGGAGGGAGGGAGGAAGGGAAGGAGGGAGGGAGGAAGGAAGGAAGGAAGGAAGGAGGGAGGGAGGGAGAATGGAAGGGAGGGAGGAGGGAGGGAGGAAGGATGTAGGGAGGGAGAGAGGAAGGAGGGAGGAAGGAAGGAAGGAAGGAGGGAGGGAGGGAGAATGGAAGGGAGGGAGGAGGGAGGGAGGAAGGATGTAGGGAGGGAGAGAGGAAGGAGGGAGGAAGGAAGGAAGGAAGGAGGGAGGGAGGGAGAATGGAAGGGAGGGAGGAGGGAGGGAGGAAGGATGTAGGGAGGGAGAGAGGAAGGAGGGAGGGAGGGACGTCTTGTATCTGCATCCCAGAGTTTCGTATAAATCACGGGACATCAGTTTCTGGGTTCGGAGGGTACAGATACTGAGAGCTACCTCTTGGGCTATTCTAAGAACTAACCGACGCAGCCTACCTAAAGCAGCCGGCAGCGGCTGGCCCGGAAGGGGCTCCATGCGCGTCGGCTCTCTTCACCTTCCTTGCCTCACTCCCGCGTGCAGTCCACCCTGAGCCACGTGGCTCCCCACCCCTTCCCTGCCATCCCTCCTAGTCCACTGCTCTATCTCAACTGCTACCCTCTCTCCCCTTGCCCACTCCTTGCTGCTGGTCTTCTTCTAACAGTTCCTTATGACATGGTGTCATCCACCCCACTCACTGCAGCCATATTAATTGTCTTTGAGGCGAGGCCTGACCATTCACTCCTCTTTTCAAAATGTTTCTTTTGTTCAGACTCCCCCTTCCGCCAGGGCCCAGTGGAACTGCCCAGCGTAACTCGTCACCACCCACTGCGTGTGCTCCACAGGACTGTTTGCCCTGAAATGGGTGATCCTCATGCTGTGCTTCCCCCCAACTGTGTCTCTGCTCGGGCCATTCTTCCCTTCTTTGAACCCCTATTATAAAGTTTATCTTTTTGCACATAAGTTTATTCTTGTCTTTCAGGAACTAGAATGCACCTGCCATTTCTTTTACTAAATTGGAAGCATACTGAAGGCTGGGATTATGTTGTTCATTTTTGTATCCTCTATTGTTGTTATTCTACCCCACATTCAGTAAGTGTGTAATAAACTTTTGCTGAATTGAATTTGAATTCCAGCTCACTTTAGTTCCTTATTTGTCCTAAGTTAATGATATATCCAATGCCGGGTACCAGAATGAGATAGAGCAACATGCTCTGCCAATACCAATGATTAGAGGTTTTACTTCTAGTCCCATATAACTACATTCTTTTCATGCCTACATAAACTAAGTGGCCCAGAAATAGCTAATTCCTTAGTAGAGCAGTTGCAGAATATAACGTGGGTTACATTTTCTTTTCATTTGAGCTCTAAAGCAAGCACTTCCAGCTTAATACTTATAGGAAGAATATTGTAAATACAGTACATTTGAAGATAAAGAAGTCTTAAGTGATTCTGTATTCTATAGATAATATGCAGTGGTAAATAAGATTGGGGGAAACTTGTCAAATTAATGAAAACATAAAACTGATACTATAAGAAATGTTCCCTTTAGATTTCTCTAACAGTACTGCAAAGTAGATGTTTTCAAATTTTTAAGGAATTAAAGTCTTCTTAAAACACACATACCTAGAGAAATGCTTTCTTAAGAGTCATGAAAAGATGTCTTTTGGAAACATAGTAAAATTTTAGGCTGAGTCTAACACAGACATGAAAATATTTACTCAGTGTCTCCTTAATATAAGTGGTGTTCAAACATCTTTATCTTGTTAAATTACGTTCATTTTGGTAGAGCAGACATTTTGGAACTATATTTCCCACCCCCTATTTTCTATAAGGGGCTATGAATGCTTGAACTCTATAAATGTATGTGACCCTCTTCAAGTGGGTGTTGACCGAAAACTAACCCTTGTATTTAAAGGTTGGTAACTTATCCTTCAGCCTCCCATTTCATTAAACCTGGATTTATGTAAATTTAGTGAATAATCCCTCCTTGATATTAGTATACTTATGAGCCTTGGAGTTACTAAAAAAGAAATTCTGCCAGAATAATAGGGACTTCAGGTTTAGCCTTTGGTCAAACATTAAAGCAGTTTAAAGGTAAAGGTGCTGATATAACATTTAAAACTTTGAGATTCATCTAAAAGCTTCATTTGCAAATGAAAAAATTGAGCGTCAGGAGGCCTCAGGACTCCACACCATGCAGTGAGAAACCCAGGGACCTACCACATGCCTCCCCTTGGCATTTTCCCAACTGCCCAGTGACTAGTCCAGCCCAGGTGTTGGCCTTGGCGCCATGAGCACAGCAGGCCAGACAATTCTTTGCTGGGGGCGGGGCTGCTGTCCTGTGCCTGGCAGCATGTCTAGCAGCACCAGAGGCCTCTTTCTAGATGCCAGGGGCAAACCCTCAGCCTTGTCATGACAACAAAAATGTCTCTAGGCTTCTCCAAATGTCCCCTGGAGGTGAAATCACCCCCGGTTGATAATAACTAGTCTATCCCAGGCCACTTTATTGTTTTAATCAACTATTCTCTTTCATGTTTTCTGGGCAAATATCTTAAGACACTCAGGCCTACTCAGTATGAGAGCTCTGAGTTGTTTATGTGAGACAGCAGTCCTTCCAAGAAGAAAGACTGCACTGCTCTTTTGACATATAAATACAACTAACAACAAATTTTGACTAGCGTTAGCCAATCCCAACTTTTAGCATAAGGGAGGTTAAGAAAATGAAAAAATACAGACTGACAATTTTGATCCATGTTTAATGAAAAAGAAGTTACATGAATAGAAATGGACATAAAATGAAGAGATCAATTTGGGAAAATACAGCAATAGGAAGAACAAGGGAAAAATCTTTTTAATCCTGAATTTACTTAGATGTTCCTATTAGTTTGTAGTGACCCAAAACATCTCCTTTAATCCGAAACAAAGTCATAGTTATAATTTAACTGCTGTTTTCATGGGAACTCACCAAAGTAATGTCCAAACAGTACTTTTCCATTTCCCCCGTGCCCCCAGAACACACACAAGCAGAGGCAGAGATGTGGACAGGGAAGTAAGGGATGGGCAAGAAGAAAATGCAGCCTTATCAGCTTTTTATTACAACAGCAAGTTCACACTGGCAAATGTGTTTTTGGCACAAAACATGCTTTCTGCTAATATTTTCATGAGAAAGCTTTTATGATATGCGACCATTTCTTCTTAGTCCAATCAGTCATTGATGAATTAAATCTGACTCTGGTGAACATAAATACATGCAGAGAAGTTTCTGATAGTTCAGATTTGAGCACAGTTGAAATATTAAAAACATGAAATTTAGAAATACACAGATGTCAAACTGCAGTGAGCACCCTATGGGTTTGTTTCATGGCTTAATTCTCTTCATGATCCTTAGCGGAGTCAGTCAATATTTTATTTTTATTATTTTCTGCCCTGATGTACAGTATAAATCATATTTTTCTAAATAAGAAAAAAAATCTTTGCAATTTTTTTATGATCTCTGAAAACATATAGCAGTGACTGGTTTGCTTTAATTACCTTATGTAAAATAAAATATCCCTTCTCTCAAACTAGATCTGGCAAGCATTAAACTAATTATAGACGTTTGCCATGTGGGTAAGAAGGAGACAATAGATTTTACTCACTCCCCCTTTGGGAATCTTTTGGCCAGCACATGGTGGTTACCAAACTGTTAGGCTCACACTGAATGACTTAGAGTTAGGATGAGCCCTGTCGCTTCTGATACTGTATTCGAAGCTTTTCTAGTTGTTCTACACATTGTGACTGGGCCAGCTTCAATGTCCGATTCTCCTCCATCAGTGCTTCGAACTCCCGAGCCAGCTGAGCTGCGTCCACCTTCTCCTTTTCTGCCTGATCCAGCTTGGCAATGAGCTCCTTTCTGAAGATTCAGGGACCAGGCAAGGGAGAAGCACAAAATTTAATGCAAATGAATTCAAGTATCCAGGAATGGCCTCATGGAAGCAGAATATTACCCATCACTGCTTGCCTCCAATTACTTATTTTTATTTTGCAGCTTCACAAGTTTTAGAACCTTTATTTTATTCTAGCACCTCTTGTAGTCACATCCAAAATACTAAAGGTATACCCCCCAAAAAAGTTCAATACAGTCTTTGATAGTCAAAATAGGTGATCATTTTAACAATACAACAAATTGTGAAACTTGCAACTAGTTCAGGAGAAAAAAAATGCTAGAAAAAATCAGTTCGTAATTTAAGATGCTATCTGTTGTCCTATGAGTAGGAGAACTACAGTTCATCCCTTACCTAATCTTTGTCTTCCACATTCAGTTACTATCTTCCTTTGTTTTCTGTTTCTGAGTTTATCAAATCTTTACTAGGCTTTTTTTTAAATCAAAGAATTCCAACTCCTTCCTGTAGATACTATTTTCCATGTCTTTCTCTAGTCTTTATATATATATATATATAATCTTATAGGCCTAATTAACAAAATAACAGAACACTGGTCCTGCTCTGACCTTAGAATTCAGAAAGCAGGTATTACTGGAGGGAATCTGTAGTGCTAACGCCTTAAACAAATTCAGTTCTCAGTAAATATTTGTAAATAATTCATTTATGTAAATAGACATAATAAGGTTCACATTCCATGTTTAGTGCATTTAATAAGCATGACAACCCAAAACAGGTCCACTTCTCTAAATGTGGGTCAGTTAATCCTAAACCAGATCTAACCAAATTGTTCTTTGCCTCAAAATAAACATATATCACATTTTTTTCCCCTCTGTAAGCAAGAGTACAGAGAAACCTGGAAGACCACTTTAACCAAGTGATCAAACTTGGTATCACTAGTAATGAAATAATAAATATTGCATGCACCAGGAAGGACGCAACATCCTTTCTGTGTTATTCTTATCAAAAATCCATACACTATTCTATGCAGAAGATCAAGGCCTAGCTTGGCTACCCAGAAAATGAACTAAGATACGATATGAGGAGGAGCTTCCGGCATCAGCACTCTCTGGAGGACTCGTGCCGGGGGATGAGCATCAAAAAGCCTCCACAGGGATCCGGGCGATGCTGCGGTTGTGGCTGCGTCCAC